TTGACCCATGTATAGGATGTTTCAGTTTGTTTTGTTTTCTTATAAATGATAGACCATAAACATAAGCATACGTTCGTGACGCATTGGAAGAGATACGTGACACGCGCTCATCTCTAGCAGCTACCAACACATAAGCACAATAATTTTAATGCAGAGATATAATGAACTCTTCGGAATAATAAAGTGGAAATTATGCCCCAAGTGGATGTACTATAAATACGATTTGCTTTCGAAATCAATGGCAACGAATTAAAATTGCGCAGGAAAATGTTTTTCCAAGAATGAAAACAAAAGAAGTTCAAATTGTAAAGGAAAAGCTAACTAAACAAGTAAAAAGCTCTAGTCGGAACTAGGGTATACCCTGAATCCTGGCGATAGCTATAAAATAAAAGAAACTTCATAGATATATTATTCTCGGACGGACGGATTGTTGATGCTGATATACATATATACTAGAATATATATATACTTTATGGAATCGGAGTTTCCAGTTAACATTTGCACAAATACATCAAACTCCTTTTTACCCACTTTCAATGGGCTTAGGGTTTACTATGAGTTTCCAATTATTTCACTCCACCAATTGTTAGTCAATCACTTTGTTTTCCCTATTGAAATGACCTCACTTGTTGTTCAATCAAAAGATTGAGCTACAAGAAACTACAAGCTCTTAATGTTCTAGCCATAAAACACAAGCTGAAAACAGAGTCTGCCGGAGAGCATTTTATCCTGTCGGGCATAATGAATAAATGTTGGAATACAAAATTCGAGAGACGTCATCAAATGCAGCCATAATTAAAAGTGTCCTGGCTGTCAGCACGCACCAATTGTGCCAGCATCAATTGCAGCCTTCGGGCTGCTTAAGAAATGCATTGCGCATCGACAGGCTGACAGCCGAGAGGCCAACTGCCGACAGCTATTGTACTCTATTGTACTTGTACCCCCAACTGCTTTTCAATGCCCCCTCGCCGCGACCCTGCTGACAGAGTCTGCTGCTGGCTGTACAATAATAAATGAATTTTTCATTAAGACAGTTGCAAATTATTTAGTTTCCATGTTGGGCATTAATTTGCATAATTTAAAGTTAAAGTTGTTTGGCACGTTTTTTGAATTTCCCAAGCGCAAGTTTTGCGCCAGCTTGTTGCTTATTGCCACGGCAATACACACTCGCGTGCACACACACAGACATTCTCGAGCGGAAGCTGTTGCTTTTCATGAATGAATTTTGGCGCCTTTTTTGCAACGCCTGCGCAATGCGGTGAGAGCATTGAAAGCCGATTGAAATTGTTGGACCATTTTGCATTGAACGGCAGCGCAGCAGCAGCATCCTTCAATCAGATTGACATCAATCGCAATGCTTCTTCAATTTGCCGTTTTATCAGAAAAGCGGCGCGCATTCAATTGCCGACAACAGTTGCGGTCTGGAGCTCATCGCGTGCGCCTCGCCTCGTGAATCCAACGCGCACCAACTTTTCGGGGCCGTTCACTTCCCCCCCGACCCCTGACCGACCGCTAGCCAACGGAAAATTAAGAAACAATTTACGCACAAAAGTTAATTTGCGTATTTTATGCAATTAATAATAATTGTAAGAAAATTGTGTGAGTGCTTTCATCAAAATATGTGTGCGATGTGTTTGGGGGCGTATACGTAATATTGTGTTGGGGCTATTAAAAATATAAATGAAGTGCGGAAACAAAATTTGTAAATTATGCTTAAAAGCTTGTTAAATAAACTATTAACATAAAAAGTAATAATTAATAATTTAATACAAAATTATTTATAATAATAATACAAAAGGTAAAGTAAATTATAAAAATATAAGAATAATAAGGATAGTAATAATAAAATGTATTACAATTATAATTATAACAATAATAATAATGATGATAAATTCGATAATAATAAATAATAGAATAATACAAATTCATATACAAATAATAATAATAATACTGGTTATAATAGTTATCATAACATTATTCATAAAATTAAAAATACTAATAAGAAACATTAATAGTATCAAATATATTAAATTTTATTATTATAATATACGTAATAATAATAATAAAAATAATAAGATGATTAGTAATATTAAAAATAATAATAATTATGCTAATTATAGAAATGACCACAACACAAATTCATAATAAATTGAGTGCCATAATTCATAAGCCAAGGCTTGAAGCATTTCAAAAGCCAAAACTGTTTAAAGAATAATGCAATTTTGCATACGCAACTCAAGCTTTAACTCAAGCGTAAATGAAACAAAAACAGAGCAAGCAATTCGAAATACAAATTATAATTAACATTGTTTTTAATCATACAAAGTGAAGATAGAATTGTACATACCCGACTGTTGAGCTTAAGTCTTGCCCAATGCCAACATGTTCTGCAAATATAAAAATGTTTTTCAATTAAATAATGCCAAGAGAAACATCTTAGCCTACAGAGATTTTATTGGGGATTCATTTGAATTCGTTTAAGTCAAAACGAATTGCATTATCGTAGACATCAAGCACGTTCTGAATTTTAATTGAGCTCAAAGAACATTCAATGAACACATGACTCAATATATATGATATTTATTATTATTCATGGTTTGTACTCCATGTCGAAACATTGTTCATATTCTTCTTATTTAACCAGTGTTGTAAATTTTAACCATCCAATAAACTTTTTATAACCTAATCCACCAATGATATGACTGTCACTTGCATATCAAATTCACATAAATTTACATAGCATACTTTTTGGGGCAACAATTTTTAGCACAGTATTTGGGCCGGAATTGATTTAAGAACTCACAGCTCTGTTGTTGGTTTATTTAATTTATCAAGCATCTTTAAAAGTATAGAACATAAATTGAAAAGGCAGTAATGGGAAATATGGACCCAATAATGGGTGCTCAACTTATTTAGAGTTTGTAGTTGGTAATAAGTTGTGTATATATATTTACAAATACATATCTATAAATACTGAAAAACTGTCTTAAAGCCTTTCAGTAAGCCCAGAGCTAAATAAAAGCAACATATAAAGCTAATTTTGTATAAATTGAATATGGCTTTCAGTTTCTTGGCTTTTGAGCGCTCAAATATGCAGAAAGACGATAATATAAATACTATATTATAGCCAAGAAGTGCCGCAACGACACAGGAGAGGTCACATGAGAAAGCTCGAATTCAATGTGATTTAATATATATACACAATATATATATATATGTATGTATAATATTTTCTGCTTATTTTATTTTATATTGTGGTTATGCCAGTGTAAATCCGGTTTTTGTGTTGCTTTTGGAATAATAAATGTCTTCGTGAGTGTCTGTGTGTGTGCGTGTGTGTTTGGCCAAGTAGAAGCAGTGAAAAAACGTGCATAACAAATCGCATCAACTATTCAGCAGATTCAAGTGCATAAGAATGCACTTGGGCAGCTCAATTTCGAGCAGCTGCCTTCGTGATTCGCCTGCAAGAAATGCCAACGAACTGCACAAGCGAAGCATACGCACACACACGCACACACACGCACACACACGCGCACACAGACGCACACGCACACATGAGCAAAGCTAGAAAAATGTAATCACAATTACAAATGCAGGCAGCAGTTTGCATAATTTATGTCAAGCACAACAACAGCAACAGAGCCCAGGGGAAGCGGGCGAGTGGTGGGCGGTGGGGTGGCAGACGGGGGGCGACTGTGGTAAACTCACACGCTTGCATGCCCATAAATAAGTGCAGGTTTAAATACCACGGCAACAATTGTGAAATATGGCAGAATAATAGAAAGAAAGAAGAGAACGAGCAGAAAGCAGAAAGCATAAAATAAAAATGTAAAATGTATGAAATGTAACTACAAGTAGCCCGCTGACATGCACCAACAACAAGTGGGGGCGGGGAGAGGTTGGGGGAAGTGGCAGAGTGCGGGCAGTGGCAATGTGTGCGCGCCTGCACAGTGGGGCAAATGTCAAGTTGCGCCAAACTTTAGGCGACGCCAGCGACATGTGTATTAAAGTCTTGTCAAAGGCTTTAAATGATGTACAGTTATATGTGAGGGCGAGAGAAACGCTCCGCTGCTGCCACTGTGCTGCTGCTGTGCTGCCGCTGCGGTGCTGCTGCCTGGCAAATGGAGAACTCAACATGCAATGCGAAGCTAACGAAAGGCAAAACAAAAGCCAAGAAACAAAATGGGCCAAAAAGTTATTTTAAGGACACGGCAAAAAATGCGCGTTTCTCGTTTCGAGAAAACTAACCGAAACGTAACGCAAGAAAGCGCCCTGTTTTGTATTTGTGTGCGTGCGTGTGGGTGTGTGTGCGTGTGTGTGTGTTTTTAGTAATCTCGAAACAATTATGCATACGTGCATACACAGAAATCTGTGGCGCGTGATGCTCAAAAGTAGCCCAAAAGCCTCGAAATGAAAGCGCAAAATGTTTTGCCATTAGCATAAAAAATAATGGCAATGGGCTAACTGGCAACTGGCAACTGGCAATGGGCAATGGGCAATGAGCAAAAGGCAACCATCGACAGCAAAAACAGACGCAAAAAATGGTAAAAAAACCAGCTACAATAGCCGAAAACTAAATACTCTAGCAGACAGCCAGTATAGTCCTTTTAACAATCATGAACACAGAAAGCTTGGAAAAGTCTAAGAAATGTTATAAAAGTTCAATAGTAAAATTACAAACAAAATATGCAAAGTAAACGGGTAGAAAGCACGTCTCTTACAGGGCATTCACAGCTGCCTAACCTTAAAAAATCTATCTACAGTAAAAAATAAATAGAATTGAGATTTTATTAAATTTCAAGCTAAAAAGTCATAAAAAGTAAATGGCAATCACTTTTTAAGCAAAATATACAAGTTATTCAAAGCTGCCCTCAAAGCTTCCTTAAGCAAACTTTACAAATTTATGTCTATTCAAACAAACAAATTATAATTGCAATTAAAATCAAACTTTAACTTAAACATACAATATAAAAACGGTGTTAAGGTTAAAAAATAAATAAATAAAAGCATAAAATGAATATAAAAATTAAATGCACTTATACCAAATCCTTAGGGTATTCATGACTGCATTCAGAAATCAAAAGCAGCTTTGTTCTTATAAAATATATTCACTCTCTTGACCAATTTCCGATCAACTTCAGTTGTATTTCTTAACCGACTAATGTTGAAAAATACTTCTTTATTCATATAAAATTCATTTAGTGTTGTCAATAGAATGATACCAAATCCTAAGGGTATTTGCAGCTGTATTCTTAGGCAGTATTATCTGTTCTTAATTTATCTTAATCTGCACTTTCTAGTCTTTCTAACAACCTTCTATTCCATTTCTAAACTGTAAACTTGCAAAGTTAGTGTTGGAAAATAACTGCTTTACTCTCATAAAATCCCTTCAGTGTTGATTTAAAGTCAGACAATAGAACTTTTTGGGTCGTTGGCATTGGAAAGCTTAGCGCAATGCCAGAAAACATTTAAACAAAAAAACAGCCCTAATTACATTTAATTAAACAAACAACCAATTCAATTGTAGAACAAAGTTTCTTTTGGTAAGGTTTTTTTTTTTTGAGCCACAGGTAGTTCGAGATTCATTTCAATTATCCCTGGAGCACTTGAAAAGCTTTTTGTAGCCAGCTACCGCAAAGGACTCCAACCACGCCTATTTATCAAGACATCCGAGCGAACGTGTGCAGCAGTCTCTTGTAGTTGTCATAGAGATCTCGACCACAGGGTTTATGCACTGGTAAAATTCTCGGCAGCCTGACAAGCAAAACAAAAAATAACGAATCAAGGGCAACAATCCTCAAAGGACGACGCACCACAAGCCACACACCAGGAATTGAGTTTTCGATAGACACAAGCTCTCCTGAGTTGTAGTTCGAAGTCTGAGCTGAATGGGCATCAATTAATGCAGCAAACAAACGCTAAACTAAGCGATAAATACTTTATGTGGCCATAGGTTTAAAATCAAAAAACACTACCTTAAAGCTGAAGACAAAGGCTTAAGAAAGGATATCATGAAGGGGCACATGTATGTAACATAAGTCGATCTAAAGAGGGTTACGGGTGTGCAAGAGACGTTCAATTCGTAAAACAGATATCGCGCTTTCGATAATTATCGAAAACATGTCTTTGTTTTCTGAGCAAATCTCGCCCTCAGATAAACCTTTAAAGAACACATTTTTGAAAACTTGAAGAAACTTTTGTTTTTAGCCGATTGTTCTATAAAAAAATAAAATATATATAATAACTATAACCATCTCGACAAGCCAGCTTTAGTAAAAGTTTAGTTTACATAACTAGCAAAAATATATATACGTTTTGTTATAAGAATCCAATTTGCCTTACATATAACATGAGAAAATGCATGTACTCCATTTAAAGGGCACAAATGGCAGCAACAACAAAACAACTCGACAATCTGAACAAAAGTCTATGGCTTTGGCATTTCACGATAGCCTTGATAGCCACGTGTGTGTGTATTTGAGTGTGTGTGTGTGTATCTAAAGGGTGTGTGTGTGTGTTTGTCTGTGAATGTGTGATGGGTGTGTGGCTATTTTCATTTCATCGAAGACTTAATCCTTTCTCAACTGCCAACAGGCCAACTGGCAATTGTTTCGTTTTGTTGTTTTTTGTTCATTTGCAAGTGCCAGAGATTGCTGGCGGGCAGAGGAAAGGGCAAAGGGTAGGGGCGCGTGGGTGCATATTTTTATGAGCCACATTCCCTTTACAGTGTGTGCCCAGTGCGAGAACAGATAAATGGCGGCCAGGCAAATGGTCAGGCAAACAAAATGAGACCAAAAGTGAGGCCAATAAAAAGGCGATAAAATTGACGCCAAATACAGAACGCAGAAACGAAGAGCTGAAGTGCGCCAAGTGTCTACATAAAAGAGCAATAGATAGAGCTATATATATATATATATATATATATATATAAATAAACGGCGCCTGGACAAACATTGTTTATTGCCACGTACATCCGTGCGAGAGATAGCGGAATTCAAATGCTGGGCTGATTAATGGGCCAGTGGCCATTTAGCCAAAACGGTATGCGCATAATTCACGTGAGTTCGAGCCCAAATGGCCAGCGCCAGCGGCTGCTGCTGCTGTTGACCGCGTTGCTGGCGCTTGGCCTGGCTGCCGCCGGTATGGAGTCGTCCGCCGAGCTACAGGCACTGCAGCTGCCAGACAGCGAGACACAGCAACGTGCCGCATTCGGTGGCAATGGGCCGAAAGTCAAGCGGCGACAGCGTCTCAATTCGCACAGCAATTTGCCGACCATCACGGCGAACACGGCTTTGGCCGCCAATCTGAGCAGCTGGCAGCAGCAGCGCTATTTGAAGGTGAATCAGGTGTTCGAGAGCGAACGTCGCATGTCGCACGCTGAGATCCAGCGCAATCATGGCAAAATCGTGCTGCTCGGTCTGTTTGAGCTGTCCACCAAGCGCGGCCCGCGGCCGGACGGTCTAAGCGAACTGGGCGCGGCCACCATGGCCGTGGAGCACATCAACCGCAAGCAGTTGCTGCCCGGCTATACCCTCGAGCTGGTCACCAACGATACGCAGGTGAGTGTCGCCCACAGTTGGGTTCGTCTTTCCATTACCAAATTGAAATTTCATTTAGTGGCGCGTGCAACATTAAAACTTAATAAGAAAAATCTGCAAGCGCAGCACCAGGAGCAGCAGGGGGCAAGCAGCTAAAAAGAAATTTGTCATCAACGTTTTTTTATACTCTGTTTGAATAGTGTTAAGGAGCTTATTTGGTTTGTCTGTTTTGGTTATAAATTCGCAGCTGAAAACTCTTTACTTTGGGTTGGACAAATTTAATACGTTCGATAATAGTTTAAGAGCCACAGTATGGAAGCCAACTACGGTTTGAAAGTCACTAACCAACTAAAGGGAATTATGTCTTAAGACACAGTCTTTGACTTACACAGTTTGAGAGTCATTTAAAACTTCTTTAAACACCGTGAACGCAACCTAAGCAACCTAAACTTAAAATAGAGTTTAACAGTAACTTTTGTTCAGTTTAACAATTTAAGTTGTTTAAGAATCACAAGAAGGTTTCTTTGCATTTGCCGATAGTTGCGTTTTAATCGTGAACAGTGTATTTCGCAGTCGGTTTCATCCGACTGCATCATGATTTTTTTACTTGATTTTTATTGCGAACAGCAGCAGCAGCAGCGGCAACGGTAACCGGGTTGGAGGCGGGCGCGGGTTGCGGGCCGCGATTTGATGGCACTTGGAGACACACGGAGCGAGACTTGGAGTCGCTCGGAATCGCCTCATATCTGGGCGTCGGCATCTCCTATCAAAACTTGAAAGTCGACATTTTAAAAATGTTTATTGCGCCATCTTGACGCGCGATTTCTTTTATGGCTGTTGCTGCTGCTGTTGCTCCAGCAGCTACTCCTTAAGTTAACCCCACTCGGTGCTGCTTACACCTTTCCGTTTTACATCTTCGACTGCAGTGTGATCCCGGCGTGGGCGTGGATCGTTTCTTTCATGCCATCTATACGCAGCCCTCGACACGCATGATGATGCTGCTGGGCTCCGCCTGCTCGGAGGTAACCGAAAGCCTGGCCAAGGTGGTGCCCTACTGGAACATTGTCCAGGTAAGTTCAGCTCAATCAGGCTCTACTGGTTTTCAGGTGGTACGCTGATTAAAATATGCAAATATGCTGAGGCTATTACTCAAAAATTTAATCAACTCACGTGCCGAAAGGAAACTCACTCGATTAGCATAAATACCACGAAAGCTAAACTCAAAAGGCAGCCAATAAACATTTCCGCGCTCAAATAAACAGCCTTCTACAAATTACACTAGACAGCACAATTTTCTTTCTGGCATTTATAAACAGGCAACATTCATTTTGTTTCCCAAGCCACATGTTTTTGCTGCTCAACAGCACAGGGAGAGCCTTTAATTCGGTTGAGCTGGAAATATTTCTAATGTACCTATTTGTATACCCTTTGCTGTGCCGCAGATAGCCATATTTTTAATTTGTTTACTTTTAGTGTGATTTATGTGCAGCAGTTAAGGTAGCATATTCAAGTGAAGAAAAGGTAAGAATATTTGGTCTTTATGGGGGCTCGATCCTTAGACTTTTTCTTCACTGTGCCAAGGTTCATTTTTGTTATAGACCTTGGAATTAGTTCCGAATGGAATCTAAATGTATTCCTAACATTATGGTCAGTGTGTTTTCTTGTTTTTAAGACCTTAAAGTTCTCAATTTTATTTAAAGTGAAATCGAAATACATAGTTTTATGTTGTACTCATTATTTAATCCAAGCAAGTTAAATAAACTCATAAAATGTTATGAAGCTGCCATAAAAAGTTCATAATTCCGTAGACCCGTGTTATTAGACAAGAAATGCGTAAATATGGTTGTGTTTTTTGAGCGGGTGGGTTGACTGTCAGAGGAGTGTGTGTGTGGGGGTGGGGAAGGGGCAACATATATTCAGTGGGAAGCGCGCTGCATGCAAATGCCGAGTTGTGGCCTTTGAAGTTCAGTTTTCGGCTGCCTGAGTCGCGTATGTGGCGACTAAATGGGCCGAAACTTTGGGGCGCACACATGCGTGGCACAAAACTTTGTCTGCCACATGCAGGCAGCGGGGGCGTAAGTGCCACGAGGTGGCACGTAACAATTGCTTGACTTGCTAACTGGCTCTTGATTATAGGTCTCCTTTGGCTCGACATCGCCGGCGCTGAGCGACAGACGGGAATTTCCCTACTTCTATCGCACAGTTGCGCCGGACTCGTCGCACAATCCGGCGCGGATCGCGTTCATCCGGCGCTTTGGCTGGGGCACGGTGACAACATTCTCACAGAACGAGGAGGTGCACTCGCTAGCGGTCAACAATCTGGTCACCGAACTGGAGGCAGCGAACATCTCATGCGCGGCAACAATCACATTTGCGGCCACCGATTTCAAGGAGCAGCTGCTGCTCCTCAGGGTAAGCGTCGATTAACGTGCTGGGTTAAAAAGTGGCCAATATGTTGTTTTGCCACGCAGGAGACGGACACACGCATCATCATTGGCAGCTTCTCACAGGAGCTGGCACCGCAGATACTCTGCGAAGCCTACAGACTGCGAATGTTTGGCGCCGACTATGCCTGGATATTGCACGAGAGCATGGGTGCACCCTGGTGGACCGATCAGCAGACACCCTGCACAAAGCATGAGCTGCAGCTGGCCGTCGAGAATCTTATTGTCGTCTCCACACACAACAGCATTGTGGGCAACAATGTCAGCTACAGCGGACTGGTAAGCGAAGACAACGATTAGTTTTCTCTTTGTGTAACACGAACCAGCACGATTTTGCAGATGTTTGAGAAATATATAGTATAGTCCAAAATTTATAGATAATATATTAAAATTCGGGATAAATTCGATTATAAGACATTCAATGTCCGTCCCTAAACACTTAACAAGAAATCGATAAGTATCGATTTTTAAATTATGTTTTTTTTTTTTGTGAGAAGTATTTTCTTGTAGAAGAAAGACAGCTCGAGAATATTTTACTAATTGCACATATATCTTAATGTTTCCTTAAAATTTGAAAAGGTTTTAAAGATATAAATTTTGGCTTTACTATTTAAGCACCGAAGATACAAAATGTATTTCGCACTAATTGACTGACATCAAGGGAAGAAGAATCATAGTCTCATAGTCGGGCATTTCCGGCTACATACAACATATACCCTTTTACTTAGCCATCCTCAATGGGTACAGGCTAAAACAAGAAATTAAACACATATTAACCTTTAAGCGAACGCCAAACAAGATTACAAGCCATAGAGCTCGATGGGTTTTTTTTTTCGAATGGAATGAAGACATAACATTAACACAAATCCGGCACGAGGCCAGATCCAGCTGCCAGCTCCCCACGCGCAGAGCCCAAATGAAATGCTACATTTGATTCGAAGTGGACCCGAGGCAATGATAAAAATGGTTTTTATTATCGTTTTAGTGCCAGCCATGAAATCGGCGGCGCATAATGAGCTGGCAATCTCATTACGTTTGACGGGGGCATGGCGAAGGGGAGGGGTCGGCTGTGGTTCGGCTCGTATAGTTGATGATGAGCGGTCGATTTAATCGTTGCAATTTTGCATTTCTATATAGAACAATCACATGTTCAACTCGCAGCTGCGTAAACAATTTGCACAGTTTCACAACCAGGAGCCGGCGGCACCACAAGCGGATCTGCGGTCGCGCCAGAGGCGTGGCACTGCCAGTCATCATCTACCGGATGCGATATCGCGGTATGCGCCCCAAACCTACGATGCTGTGTGGGCCATTGCGTTGGCCTTGCGCGCCGCCGAGACGCACTGGCGCCAGAATGCGGCAAAGTCCAAGCTGGATGGCTTCGATTATACGCGCAGCGACATGGCCTGGGAGTTCCTGCAGCAGCTCGGAAAGCTTCACTTTCTGGGCGTATCGGTAAGTGGATGACGACCCGCCTGGTTGACTAACCCACCCACCCGACCACTTTTATGGCACCGACAGGGTCCGGTCTCGTTTAGTGGTCCAGATCGCGTGGGCACCACCGCCTTCTATCAGATACAACGCGGCCTGCTAGAGCCGGTAGCACTCTACTATCCGGCCACGGATGCCCTGGACTTTCGCTGTCCGCGCTGTCGACCGGTCAAGTGGCACAGCGGGCAGGTGCCCATCGCCAAGCGGGTGTTTAAGCTGCGCGTGGCGACCATCGCACCGCTGGCCTTCTATACCATCGCGACGTTGTCCAGCGTGGGCATTGCGCTGGCCATTGCGTTTCTCGCCTTCAATCTGCACTTCCGCAAGCTCAAGTAAGTGTCAAGCCTTGTCTCAGTCCACACTCAATGCGGCCCCGTCCCAGTTGCTCGAACGACCTGAACATCTCTCCATCTCCACAGAGCAATTAAACTTTCCAGCCCGAAGCTGAGCAACATTACCGCTGTGGGTTGCATCTTCGTTTATGCCACCGTCATACTGTTGGGGCTGGACCACTCAACGCTGCCCTCGGCGGTCGACTCCTTTGCCACGGTTTGCACGGTGAGTTCTCAAGTGTCTGCCAGGCACTCTGGCAGTTTCTCTCTGCGAGCCTTTGTTTGAGTTTCGGTTATGCAAGCAATACAGCCTCCAAGTGGGAGTTCAAAAGGGGGACATACACACACAATACCACCTACAGTTTCGCCCCATCAAATATGACTTTCAGTTTCAGCGCAACTTTCACGTCGCTCTCATGTGTTTGTTATATACCCAGTAAAACCATTTGGCTTCAAGCAGTGTGAGCATAACAGACCGAAAAACCCAACAATAACAGTCAAGTCATACAGCGCAGCTGTATTTCAAAGTCAAAGAGTCTAAGTCCCAATAAGAAAGGAATAATAAACACAGTGGGTTTTCCATACATCCCAGCAAGTAGGAACTTCGAGGAAAACTTTTTATTGTGTTTGGCTTCCTAAATCTTTCTGGGATGCATCAGTTTTGATTTGAACTACAACCTTAGTCTGAGTCTAGCTTGCATGGATTGATGAAGGGTATCGTTTGACAGGGTATCTCTTAACCTAAGACTCTTGGTTTAAGTACTTTTGCTTATTTTATTTATGAAAGTTGTTGAGTTGTTGGATTGTTGGACTGTGTGTGCGGCTGCGCCATAAATAGCTGCATTTTTAAAGCCAAATCTTTTTGCCAAGCTTAATAAATCTTTAACTTTACCGCGCACTTTGGGCTAGACGAGCTCTACGGCCGGGATCATAAAGTCCAATTTGATGCGCTTGTCATCGGCATTGCGTTTTTTTTTTTTTGGTTTGTTTGTTTTCCTTTTTTTTGCCAGCCTACCGTCAAAAATGCGACTCGAGGGAAATTCAGAGTGTGCTACATGTTGGGCATGTTGTTGTTTTTGGCACATGTAATGCCCTGAGTTTGGGTATATGAAATGTGGGTGATATGCGGGGTGGGATATAGCTAACAACGGCAAACACATGACACGGACACGTAAATTCACAACTTTTGTGATATTCTTTATTTTGCATAAATTTGAGAATGCCTCCTTGGAGTCCTCGTCTGTTGTTGTTCTTTAGCCTGTTACATAGCCCATTGATGACTTGTTTAGGAGCAGAAAAACACAAACACACACATGCACACACACACTTTCACAACCTGAAACCAGCTTATGCCTATACTCTTTGTCTCTCATCCTCATCCCGCCCTCTAGGCACGCGTGTATCTGCTCTCGGCTGGTTTCTCATTGGCATTTGGTTCAATGTTTGCGAAAACATATCGGGTGCACCGCATCTTCACACGCACCGGCAGCGTGTTTAAGGATAAAATGCTGCAGGACATTCAGCTAATACTACTCGTGTGCGGCCTGTTGCTTGTCGATGCCCTGCTCGTCACCTTGTGGGTCGTTGCCGATCCCATGGAAAGGCATTTGCATAATTTGACACTCGAAATCAGCGCCATTGATCGAAGCGTTGTCTACCAGCCGCAGGTTAGTCTTGTACATCTCCTACTCCAACTCCTGTGCCTAATCCTTGTTCCATTTAAATGCCTTGTTTTTATACCCTATGCCTATTGAAAATTGATAAAAGAGGGTATACTGCTTATGTGCAAATGTATCTTACAGACAGAAGAAATCATCTTAAGCTCGATTTTATATTTTTGAAAAGGATGACGATTTCCGAGTCCGTCTGTCTGTCTGTGCTCCGATCTCGGGCACTACAAAAGCTCAAGAGTTCAACTTTGAGAAATGAATTCTCCTATACCCAATTTAAGATATATTCTCACATCGTAAGTAACATCGACAAACATCAATTTTGATACACATTCTCTTACGAATAACTCGGAATGTAGAAGAACTAGGTATGTAGGTTCTCCTATAGAAAATTTCATTCAGATCGGAGAGATCGTATAGAAAATTGCATACAGCTAGGACTATAAGCCCCGAGGTTACATAGATAGTGTAGGGCATCTCCTAGTCGGGCACTGACGACTAGAGCACTCGCTGATGTCTCTTGACAGACTCAGCTTTGTAAATTGACGCCCACATCTATGTTGGAACTACTCCTCCGCCCCCTAAACATGAGTGCCTTTTCGTTTGCCATTCAACGATAGGTTGAGGTTTGTCGCTCGCAGCACACCCAAACCTGGCTGGGCGTGCTGTATGCCTATAAAGGTCTGCTTCTGGTGGTGGGCGTGTACATGGCCTGGGAGACGCGTCACGTGAAGATAGCCGCCCTAAACGACTCCCAGTATATAGGCGTATCGGTCTACAGTGTTGTCATTACCAGTGCCATTGTTGTCGTGCTGGCCAATTTGATATCGGAGCGCGTAACGCTTGCTTTTCTCACGATAACAGGGCTGATTTTAAGCTCGACAACGGCGACACTTTGCCTGCTCTTCATACCCAAGCTGCACGACATTTGGGCACGCAGTAAGTGTGCGACCTGCAAGTCGCCCAGATTGGAGGATTTTCATAATGTTCTACTCCGCAGACGATATCATCGATCCTGTGATACACAGCATGGGCCTCAAGATGGAGTGTAATACACGTCGCTTTGTCCTCGATGATCGCCGGGAGCTGCAGTATCGCGTCGAGGTTCAGAATCGCGTCTACAAGAAGGAAATACAGGCGCTCGATGCGGAAATACGCAAGTTGGAACGCATGCTGGAGTCCGGCCTGGGCACGGCTTCAACGAACACCTCCTCCTCCACATCACTGCTAGCCGGACATGGTCTTCTGAAGCCCGAGCTGACTGTGACCAGCGGCATCTCACAGGCGACGACTGCAGCAGCGGCTGGGGCTGGGGCGGGGAATGCCAAGTCGCGCACGCCCAGCATTTCGGGCATTCTGCCAAATCTGTTGCTCTCCGTTTTGCCACCAGTAATACCACGCGCCAGCTGGCCATCGGCAGAGTATATGCAGATACCGATGAGACGTTCCGTGACCTTTGCCTCACAGCCGCAGCTGGAGGAGGCCTGCCTGCCGGCACAGGATCTGTTCAATCTCCGGTTGGCCCATCAGCAGGCTACCGAGGCGAAAACTGGACTTATCGATCGTTTGCGTGGCATCTTTTCACGCACCACAAGCAGCAACAAGGGCTCCACGGCCAGTCTGGCGGATCAGAAGGGTCTGAAGGCAGCCTTTAAGTCGCACATGGGCCTCTTCACACGGCTGATACCCTCCTCGCAGACAGCCTCCTGCAATGCCATCTACAGCAATGCGAATCCTTTAGGAGTTGAGGGCAACAACAGCTTGGAAGCGGTTGAAAGTGGCGCCAACGGTGCACATCTGCAGCCAATACACCGTGGCTCGCTGACCAAGAGCGGCACACATCTCGATCATTTGACCAAGGATCCCAACTTTTTGCCCATACCCACCATTTGCGGTGAGCGCTTCGATATGCAGCAGCAGGAGCCGAATGCGAGCGGCGGCAAGTACGTTAAGCTGCCCGAGACCAAGGTCAACTTTCAGTTGCCCAATAGTCGGCGTCCCTCGCTGGCACAGCCGGCGCCCAGTTTGAGGGAGCGCGTCCGTGGCTCTCCGCGCTTTCCGCATCGCATTCTGCCGCCCACCTGCAGCCTGAGCGCTCTGGCCGAGTCCGAGGATCGTGTCGGCTCGGAGGCATCTACACTGGCGGGCAGCTGCAAGTCAATACCGCGCATATCGCTGCAGCAGGCGACCAGCGGCGGCACCTGGAAGTCCATGGAGACGGCGGCCAAGTCGCGACTCTCGCTGGACTCGCAGGAGGAGCAACCGATGCCGATGCCGCCGATGCCAGCGGCAGCAACAAACGGTCTTGATTAATATTGTAAGTTCAAACAAACACACACACACACACACACGCCCACCCAACATTTTCCGCCCAAATCCTTGTCAATTAGATGTGAACACCAAGCAATTATTTTCAAACACGCGCCCGCCACGTCCTCCTCCAGCCAGGGAAAAGAGCGCGCGCGTGTGCAACTGACCAATCATCGGCTTAAAGCAATCAAACGCATTAGGATAAGTTACGATACGCGTAATCCTTCTACAAGTAGCTAGTCACGAGTTTCCTACTTGAATACCCCTTCTCTCCCCTCCACCAGGCTCTTCCTAAAACCCATAATGTGATTCGACCTAAGCTCATTCTAGAATTTTTGCTCTTCATAGGCTAAGTAGAGGACTTTGCTGCATTAGTTGCACAAAACGTTAGTAAACACCACTTCCACTTCCATTACCACTTCCGTTTCCGTCTCTGTTTTAGCATAAGTTTGATGTTCCCTTGTGCCAAAGAGTAATAAAGTTTTCGTCTATGAGGTGGTTGTGCCCATCTACGGTATCCCATAAGCAATACTATAATATATAGGCTAAGTCCAAAAACAATCTATGATTAATTAGCAGACGGTGCTCGAACCGCCCACTTTTAAGCAAAAACCGACACCTTACGATGCGTCTCACCAAAAAAAAAATATAAATAAATAAATAAATAAAATAAAAACTCTGTTGTAGCCGTAGCTGTAGTTGGTAGTCGTAATAATTGGTAGCCTGCTCAATGGAAACCCTAGCATAAGTGACTAAGTTTTAGCATTGTAATCCTTGAACCCGAACTTCGCCGCACACACTACCCCACACACAAGAGTCCACTATCGATGCGATGCGGCATTAAGTCAATAAACAACAACAAAAAGCAGAACAGCCATGCCAAAAAAAATAATGATTAATTAATTAACTTGTTTTATTGGGTGGCTAGTCTAAGAGGGCGTGGCATGGAGAGGGGCGAGCCTGCGAGCGAAAACAAAGAGAAATTACTTTCTATAGAGCCGAAAAATAAGTTTGCCTACCCGCAGCATGGCCGTGCTGTCGAGCAGTGCTGCCAGACTTGAAGAAGCTAAAATTGGCAAACAAGCTAGAAAAAAGCTAATATATTGTGTACTGCAATTTAGTCTAAGGCAATTTCCGACATGTTTAAAATCATTGAAAGCGTCTTGTTGCAACAATATTTCAATTCTTAGCTTGAAACTAAGTTAAATTATTTGTTCTAAATTTCCTTTTATTATTAAATTGTTAAATTAATTCAGAGCTAGCATAATCCTCGACAAAAAATGAGTTTCCCTTAAAAATATGGCTTAGCGCTGAGCCTAAAATGAGCAAACCATCCAACAAATTGTTTCATCCACCCAACTCCAGCAACAGTCATGATGAGGAACATGTATTCCATAAACCATATGCCAAATGCCGCAATGCCTCGTTAAGTTGTCCAACAGCATCCGCTTTTCTTCGCCTACATAAGTGCGGCTGTGTTCTCAAAGGCTATATAACTATCTGCGAACTTTGCCGTTATTTAACGCTCCGTTTGCATTAATTCAGTTTGAATGTGTTAACACATGCAGCAGGCATTAAAACATTGTCACCAAGCTCGTGACTCAGAATCTGCTAATTTGTTTATTTATTTTTCTTCCGAGCAATACAGACAAGTTTATCGGCAAACTAGACTTTCAGTTTTCAAGCTTTTTCGCTAACTTATCCACAAAACCCGATAATATATAACAAATAAAATCAACTAGTTATTATAACTTATCGATAAAAATCAGTAATATACCGAAAATTACGTCCTATTTTTTCATAAATTAAATTTTAAGCAGAGCAAACTTTTGTGACACAAATTGATAACTTTTCAACCAAAATTGATAATTTATCAAAAATAATATCGATAAGTTATAGACAAATTACTTAAATCTAGGAATATAAGTTATATATATATATTAATTTAAAAAGCCAACAAAAGAAAAACACATTGAGAAAACGGACAAGATTGCCGCTGCTCAACGCATTCACGTTCATTTCCGGCAGAATAATAGCCAGAATGGCCGCGAAGGCAGCAACAGTATTAGCAGCAGAAACAAAGAGCCGAAACTAATAGAGTTCGGTGATTAAGTTGACATTGCAATTTGTTACTATAAATAAATAAATAAAATCGCATCAACGAAATACCAAGACGCTCCACAGGCCAACAACTGAAACGGTGCTGACCTGGTCGACCTGCTCTCGAGCTCGAACTCCCGCAGCCGGATCGTGTGAATTTATCTTTATGCTCGTAAAAACAAAACACATTTTTCATGGCTCCATTTCGCAATGGCTTGGATGCGGCATGAAGATTTATCTCGCCGACACGTCGCTACCAGGCACGCCTTCCGTTCATTCCCCTCCCCTCTTTCCACTCCCATCGCCCCGTCAGCCAGTCACCGGCTGTTTTCCTCGGCCACACATTGCGCATACGTCGCGTGTGCCGCATCAATAAAACCGAGCAGTTTGGTAAGTCTTACATTTGGTTTATTACAGCGGTACATGGACCATGAAGTACCTAGGGCCGGCGCCTGTCACATTGAGAACAATAGCCAAGAAGTGTTTATTTATTGTGTGTGTGCGTTTGTGTGCGGCTTTTCCTTTTTGGCAGCAGCTGGCGACAGCAAACAAAAAATAAAAATAAAATACTTGCGCAAATATTCATTTTAATCAAGCTAATTAATATGGTCCAGTTATGCGGAGCAAAACCCAAAATACAAATGAATAAAAATGCGACCTTATAAACGAGCCGGTGACAAATGAGGCAGCCACGCCCCCGGTCTGCACTTTGGCCCGCCCGCCCTCAGTCGGGGAACGAGGCCACAAAATTCTTGCTCGTTGCGGGCACCCATTGTCCCGGACGACCCTCAAATGCAGCTCATTAATGTTAAAGAACCCAAACTCGGCGCACTTAATTAGCAGCTGCTTGGTAGGCACTTGTACAGAAGCTGTTCCTGTCCTCTTTCCCTTCACTCAGCCAGTGTCTGTCTTCCCTCCTCTGTGGAGGCTCACTACACATTCACATCGGATTATGTTAAAGATTATCGCAAGACGCTCAATAAATTAAAGCTGCATACAATGCCCAGGGGCAGTTACTCCCGGGTTACCAGTTCCTCAGTTCCCAGTTGAGCAGTTGCCTCTATTCCAAGTACAAGTACCCGTCGCGTCCAGGTAAAAGACTGAGGCACGTCGTGTCTTCACTTTATTTACATACCTTTGGCATAAACTGGTCGAGTTTATTTCGTGCTGCCTTCCCATTCCCAGCTCAACAGTACAACACATAAAGCGGCACTAAGTTATTTTCAATCAATAAAAATAACATAAACAACAAGTATGAAGCGGCATGTGCCAAATGCCGAATACCAAATACCCTTGCAGACATAGGCCTGGCAACATTTGCGGTATTGTGTTTATTAACAACTTCCATAAACTAATTTTAACCGGCGTTTCTTATAATCAAACCCCATTTGAAGTCGATTGTAATCGAAAATGAAAACGATTTACATACATATATATTTATTTTGTTTTTAAAAAATGTCAAAGAAACCAAATTAAACCACAAGTTTGTAAACGAAAAAAATAAATAATGTTCAAAATCAATCAAATACCATAAACAAAATATAAAAAGCATTCTAAACTAGCTAGTTTTTAAAATAAAAAAGTTTTTCAAACAGATTAATTGGTGAAGTTTACGCATTTCGCTTTTCTTAGGGTTAGTTTATGGTTTACAAATGAGTTGTTTGATCTCCTTAGCCACTTTAATAGCAGAAATCCTAATTTATATATTTCTTCCAGATGAAGCAATATACACTTTAATGTAGAAAGTCAGCTCTGAAGCAATACAACCTTAAAAGTTAGAACTCGTCTCTCTTAAAGCGTAACACATTTCGTAACAAAATTAAAATACTTGACTGCAGCAAAGGGCATGACAAGCTGTAAAAAATACACTCAAGTGCTTTTCACACACATCTCTATACACAGTCCCAGTCCCACACCCAGCTGCACACACAAGCCCACACAGACACCCACGCACACATACATTAGTTCTGCTGCTTGAGGAGCAACAATTTGGCTTTGCCTTTTGCTTTTGGCCCACCCATCGAGTGGAGCACAGAAGGAAAAGCACTGTGCTCCCAATTTGCCAATAAATTTGCCTGCCAATGCATGGCCCGTAGCTCAAAAGAAGCGAGTTCAACCAGAAGAACCAGACAAAAATAAAATTAAAAAAAAAGCAAATAGAAAAGCAAGAAAGCAACAGACGTCGACAAATGGGTAAAAAATATTTTTGGAAAATGCGAAAATGTTGCTAAAAAGTTGCTCATCGACTTTCCATTTGTGGCGCGCCACGACAAATGAGAAAATATATGTTCGCATATTTGGTTAGCTGGCAACTTCCCCTCTCCCCTAACCCACCCTCGCAGGGCCTAATGAGGCGTGAAAACATGCAGTTGAACAATTTTCGAGCACACACTTTTAATTGGTGAGCAGCACGAGAGGATGTCTGAAAAGCTGTTGAGGATTATCGAAACGAAAGGTGTTCTAATTGGTTATCAGACGACAAGCATTAAATGTCTTTAAGCGGGAATAGGAATGGGTAGCTGGCGGGGAAGGAGTTCAATTCAATCGGCAATTGACAAGCGGAAAACGGATTTCTGAGCGACTGAGTCCATGATTGACGTTTCAAGTGCCACAGCCAAATCGCTGGCGAAGAATATGCGACAGCATTTGAGACAATCCGTGTGACAGAGTCTCACGCAGAGATTGCTACACAGAACAATCGCATGACATTATCATGACTCAGGCAAATGCTGCTCATAAAAAGCACGGTTATTCTGCTTTTTTATAGCGGCAGAAATGTAAAAAATAGCCAGAATGTGTTTTATTTTACGTTCGCAGTTCATACTTAAATCAAATAAATGAGACTAAAACAGAGTGGGTAATACACAAAAATAACTTTGGATGAAGCATAATTTTTTAATTTATCGATGGCATGGCACCAATAGTTATCGATAATTTCCCAATAAAATTGTTAATACGTTTTTCCTAATCAGAATTAGTGTTCGATTCGACATCGAAGAAACAAAAAATGCATAAATAAATGTTATATACAATTAGGCTATAAATTACATAACAACATCTTAGACTTTTCTGCTTTTTTTTTTTAGATTTTAGATAAAATTTAGCGGTTTTTTCATCTCTTGCCGCTTAAACCTAGATATTTTTTGACAAGCCCCAAAAGCTGACAGCACTGTTCAAAAATGCACACAGAAACAATCAGCATATGTGCGTGGGAGATTTTAAAAGCTGCTCCGGTATGAAGCAGACAAACTTACAGGTTATTACATTGAAGATGAGTGCTGCAGACGAGAGAGAGAATGCTGCGAAAGAGACAGCAACAGGGACAAGTTGTTGATTTCAGAGCCAGAAGGCAAATGAAAAGGAGTTGAGCGAGTCGCAAATTGTCGCGACAACTGACGGTGACAGCAGGGAAAATGTTGCGGATGGGGGATTGGGTTTGGGTTTGGTCTGGGCGCGAACAGATGCACTCAAATGTTCAGATGCGTAAAAATACCATGGGAAATTACGCGAGTGGAATACCAGCCGAGCAAATCGCACACATACACAA